AATCCTTATTCTTGAATTACCAAGAAAGATATAGGCATAAAAAGTGAGTGAAATGATTGATAACTTGTCCCAATTGAATTTGTTGACCTAGTATTCGTTACTATCCTTGTTAGAAAGAGCAGGCTTGTGGGGGAAATTAAGCTGTAGTTGTGCTCGCTTGAGACATTTTCGAAGATCTTCTTTTAACCCAATCTTGTGAAAATGAAAAAATTCAAAGTTGCAAAGTTTTATTATTTGATAGTTGTTATTAACGTATTGCCGATTGCATCTTACTAAACTCACATGTTTCTTTCGATTGACTTGATCTATTCAAAATCTGGATCATCAAAAGGTACAGTTGGAGCGTCGAAGTCTACTGTGGGTACTCTTCTGCCACCAGAATGAGATGATTTCCGACCATCACTATTACGAAGTGCATTTTTTGCTTCCGTTTCCTATGAATAACATGAGTAGTTTCGAAGCACATATGGGATTTACGTTTACTGGTGGAGCTGTTTCGAGAGCGGCACGTCTTGCAATTGATTTCGTTGTTGCGACAGAAGTATTTTCGGGCATTTGTTTAGATGGTTCAACTGTATGAACACTGGACATTGAATGAGAAGTTTCTTCTCGTAGTTCTCTTACTAAGGCCATATACTCTACAGGAGATATGAACAAGTCCTGAAATTATTGATTACTTCACATATTGCCATCAGTTTTAACTTTGTCATAATCAATTTTCTTGAAATTCTTCTTCAACGTTGGCACATCAACAGCTGGATCGAACTTCTTGAGTTCGCCATAACTAAGATATCCCTTCTTGTTAACTGTAGCCCATTTCTGAAAGACAGATTGCGAAATCGTGAAGCACACAACGAGCATGAGCAACCAATCACCACAAGCGCTACGAAATATTCAGAAGACAACACACAGAAACATTTGTTTATTTTGAAAAAAAAGTTTTGGATCACTTTTTTTTGCTGCTTAATGTAACAAATGTCTTTAGGGAAAGATAGTATAAAATAGAAAAGAGAGAACAGCAATATCCCCACAAACCGACATGTATTGGTAAGCATTTGCCGCAAAACAAACAAACAAGAAAAAAAAACAAAAAAACAAAGAATCTGAGAGAATATATCACATTACTTTTAAACTTTTAAAGCATTATACTAGACTTTCTAGCTTCTATTAATTAAGAAAGAGACATTTGAGGCAGGTAAAGCTTAACCGCGTACAGAGAAACGGACTCCCATCTCCTTAACGGCCTTAGCTCTCAACTCCAAGAGAAGCTCAACCCATTCAGAATGGTTAACACTTCCACTGCTCTGAAACAACAAGAACTTTAGAAGTTTTTTTAGACCGAAAACTCACGTGATGTGAACGATTGAAGATCAGATCAGCATCTTGAGCAGAAACTCCAAACTCATTCAAGGCGAGGTTACGAACTTCATCTTGATTGATGTTTCCATCGACATCGACATCATATTTCTTGAGAGGAAAAGTTTTTTTTTTCTTGAAGTAGATTGGAAACTAACTGCTTTGTATTCTTCAACTCTGTTAGCCATAGTTTCGCGGAGAATTCTACGAACCACAGGGCATTCACTTCCGTCTAAATCACTATTCTTGTCTTCGTCGGCGGTCAAAAAGATTCTTTCCAATTCTGCAGAAAACAAAAAAAATTGAACGATCAGTGTGCTGTGCCAAGATACCCTTGCGGTTAAGGTCAAGAACAGCTAAAACAAAGGGACTGAATTCCCGGAATGAGATGGCACCATCATCATTCTTATCATTTTCGACACAGCAAATTTGAAGCCAGCGTTCTTCTTCCAATGGCTCTGCAAAAAAGTTTCAAACTGTATATCTTATGTAAACTTACTTAATCCTAATGGGATTGTCAGCCCGAGGCAGAAAAGAGCACATAGAACGATAGCTGATTTCATTTCAGTTTTTTTCGGATTCCGTAGAAGCTCTAAATCGGTTATTTGTATTGAACCCAAGCGATATCAAATGAGAGAAATGACGATTATCAAAAAGTTGTAGAGAAGGTCAAGCAGAACTGTTGAGCCAGCAACAGCAAACAAGCAAAATGAAAGAATTCGCTTAAAAACAAAAATAGGACATGTTTACTAGGTCAACAAATTCAATTGGGACAAGTTATCAATCATTTCACTCACTTTTTATG